ATAATAAGGCGAACGGGGGTCAGCAGGTGGGGTGGGGTGTGATGAATTGACAGTCTGGGTAGGCAAGGATGGACATGGTGGGCACACAGTGGTAGGAGTTGGTTTCAAGTGTTTAAAACAGGCGTGTCCAAAGTCCGGCCCGTGTTCCGGTTTAATATGGCCCCACGGGTAATTTGGCAATATCTATCTTTTATGGCCCCCAACGAATCCATATGTATTGAGATGAATACATTGTAAAATCTCAGTTAAAGTCAGTTGGTCTAAATCAGTTATAAATATATTTGGACACAACATGTATACTTGGTGTTATGTTCCTGTTCATATTTTTTGAACTTAAAAGTTGACAGACAACCTTTATTACCAATAATATGTAATGTACTTTACAATGTTCCTGACATATATTTCAGCTTCCTGGATTTTTTTTTTCATCTGGCCTTCAGATATGAAAGGCAGAGTGATTTAACACCTGTTTAGATTTGTCATCCATGTGACGAAATGAAAAGTATGCTGTTTGCAATAAACTTTGCATAAAATAGTTAATTTGCATTTAATTTTAATGGTTCAAAGAATGTCAGGCAAAATGGTCGGCCCTCACGCATGTTCACTTCATCAAATCTGGCCCTCTTTGAAAAAAGTTTGGACACCCCTGGCATAGGTGCTTCTGCTGGAGCAGGGACAAATGGCTCTAGTGCAAAGAGCTTTGTTTGTCTACAGTAGCGAGGGTGCACTAGTGAAGCTACATCATTGGTTGAAATCCCCAGAGGAGGTAAAGACTGTCCAGTCAGAGATGAGGGTGGACGAGGATTACTTCCTTTCCGGGTTAAAAGTCTCAGAGGGGTAGCCATGTAAGTCTGTAACTGTAAAAACAACGAGCAGTCCTGTGGCACCTTGTAGACTAAGAAATATTATTAGAGTTATCTCCTCTCAGGGTTGTGATGGCAGACAGCCCTGCCTGTCCGCCTCAAAGCAAAGCATAAGAGTCAAACCTGTGTACTGGGGAATCCCTGTTGGTTGCTTATTGGCAGGGGATGCTGTAGTTTGTCAGCATTGGCAAATGTTTTTAGTTTTCTTCCTCTCGGTTCTGTCTCTCCTGCCGTCAGCTACATTGTTTTCTCCTGATAGAAAATCCTCCAGCTTCTAAAAGCATTCACACAGACTGCCTAACACCATCACAACCCCCCTACAAAAGGACTTGGTCACAGGCTGCTACCTGCTTTGCCTCACTTCCTGGCCTGCTTCCGTGCTCCCTCAGTCCCAAGCCAAACAGCAAACAGGTGCATTGCAGGAAGGGCTTTCCACAGAGATTCTCCCTTCCTGATCCTCCCAATTCTTCTTCTTCTTCTCTTGGACTGAGCCATCAATCGACAGATCTCATCTTCTGTGACGCCATTGATGAGCGACTAAACCAATCCTTGATCGGCAGAGCCAATTACAGATGTCACATAAAAAAACACCAATTGCAGGTGTGGTGTGTTCCTTTCAGATTCTGCACTTTTCCTGTAATGCTTGGATATGCTGACTGTCAAAGCAATTAAGAGCTTATGCAGTGGTTTGCTGCCAGGACAATCTGTCCTGAACTAGAGTTTCCAGATCATTGGGAGAGATGCTGCATGACTCCACGTTGGCCTTTAAGATGTCTTTATAGCGCTTACACTGACCGCCGATAGAGCGCTTTCTGTGAACAAGCTGGCCATAGAGGACCATCTTTGGTATCCATGTATCATCCAGCCTCACAACATGGCCAATCCAGTGAAACTGTTTGTTCATAAGCATTGCTTCCATGACACCACACAGCTTAAGAACCTCTGTGCTAGGAATTTTGTCCCACCAATTCACATGGGCAGTCTTCCTCAGACAACACGTGGAACTGATCGCACTTCAAAACATGGCGACGATATATTGTCCATGACTCCGAGCCATACAGCAGGATATTCAGGACCACTGCCTGATAAACCCCTACTTTGGTATGGAGTTTGATACCATGGTTGTTCCGTAAGTGTTTGGTCAATTTTCCAAAGGCAGCACTGGCTTTGGCTAGTCGAGTAAATATGTCATAATCCACGTTTGAGCTAGGGGATAGGACACCTCCCAGGTAGCAGAACTTATCAACAGCCTTAAGGACTGCACCAGCAGCAGTGATCACTGGAGTGCTGGGCTCTTTCCAAACAAGCTGAGGCATAATTTCTGTCTTCTTGAGGCTCCCTTTGAGTCCAAAGCAGTGAGCAGAAGTAACAAAGTGATCAAAAAGCTCCTGTGCATCCTTCACTGAATGAGCCAACAGTGCTGGCATACTGTTAGTACAATTGCTCCCAATTACTGCTTGTTTCAATCACTTAGTAATTATCCCCCCAGATGCTCCTAACAGAAAAGTGGTTAACTGCTTCCAGCTGAGCCTGTGGCCTTTGCTTGTCTGCACCAATGTCCCTGCTCAGGGTGGTGCTGCTAGAGCTGCC